TTCAGAGGATGAGGCCAAGATGCCGAGTTCGGCTCCACATTCCAAAACGGGTCAAACTGGTCCTGGGGGATGAATGGGGTTGAGGTTGTGCGACAGGATCAAAGTGGAAGAGACAGATGACCATGTATCTCCGTGTGACAACACAAGACGGGGGTCGAAACGGCACTGGCGGGGGGGGGAAAGAACCAAAAAAAAAAAAACCCCCAAAAATAAAGACATCAAGAGGTGCAACTCGGGCACAAAGCTGCGTGCGTATTTCGCCTCGACTAAACCCAGCATTTGCATGCGCAGGACTGGCAGTGACAATGTGACTGTCGGATGACGTGGTTACAGTGGGGTGGCTGGCTGGGACGGCCCGTTGGGCGCTGGGATTTATAGCGGGCACAGGCCCCAGCAGCGCCCCCCCAGCAGCGCCCGGCTCCCCCCCGGCCAGCAGCACCCCCCGGAGGCCTATAATTACCACCGCCGTCAATCATGTTCAGCCGCCTGAGCCGATCACTGATCTTATCTGATCAGCCGACTTGCATGCTCCCACCAGGTGTCCAGCTGCCCATGCCAGGTGCCTTGTCAATGTACAGTCAAGTCACCGGTCACTGCAAGTCACTTTGCTCGCCTCGCTCGCCTCGCTCACGTCGACCACACACTGGTCACATTGTCTGTTGCTCACCCCCGGCCCTTCTCCTGATTACTAGATCTTGTGTCCTTCTTTTTTTGATTCCTTTGCGTCCTGCTTGCCTTCCCTCCTCCAGCCATGAGTTGCAAACGCCCTGCGCCATTTCCTCGGACCCGTGAACCATCCATCATCCATCGTGCAAGCCAAGGCCGTGACTGCGGCCTGTTGCCGACATCCGACTGAGACAAAATGTCGCGCTCAGCATCTCAAACACCGCTGTTCGGCCGTATCTCCCAGCCGGGTCGTGAGCCGTCATCCTATCTCTCCCGAAGCTCCGAACATGTTCACGAACGGACATCCCTTCTGCCATCCCAGCCTGATGCCGGCCGAGTCCGAAGCCGTGCCCCTGGTGTGGCACGGATGGAAATAGTGGCATCGCAACTTACGACTGCAGAGCGAGCTTGGCTGTTCTTTGGCATATTCCTCGTCGGGTATGCATATGGTCTCGAGAGCCAAGTCCGTTCAACCTACCAACCTTACGCTACCTCTTCCTTCTCCCTACACTCGTACCTGTCCACCATCAATGTGCTCCGAAGCGTCATTGCCGTGGCCGTACAGCCGACAGCTGCCAAAATCGCAGATATATTTGGCCGGTTTGAAATCGTAGTGGCCTCTACCCTCTGCTACGTCGTCGGCATGGCCATCGAGTCCACCGCCTCCTCGGTGTATGCCTTCTGCGCCGGCGCCATCGTCTACCAGGTCGGATATACTTGCATCGTGTTGCTGCTCGAGGTCCTTGTTGCCGACTTTTCATCTATGCGAGCCCGCGTGTTCTTCAGCTACATACCTGCTTTGCCCTTTGTCATCAACACCTGGATTAGCGGCAACGTGACGTCTGCCGTCTTGGCCGTGACCACTTGGCGATGGGGTATTGGCATGTGGTGCATCATTTATCCCATTTGCTCCTTGCCCCTTATCACCACCTTGTACAAGATTGACCGCCGGGTCTCGCTGCCGAAACACGGTGCGCCCAAGAACTTCCGTGACAGATGGAACTTTCTTGGGTTCGGAAAGTCGACAAAGGGGCTCGCGGACCAGCTCGATGTCGTTGGACTTGTCACCATGGTTGGTGGGTTCAGTTTTATACTCGCGCCCGTCTCCATTATTGGAACTACGACCGAGCACTGGAGGAACCCGTATGTTATTTCGTCACTTGGCATGGGCTTCGTCCTTGTACCGATATTCATCATTTGGGAACGCCGCGGTGCCAAGACGCCCCTTGTGCCTTTCCACCTTTTGGCCGATCGCGGTGTCTGGTCTGCCCTCGCTGTCCGAAGCTTGCTGAACTTTGCCTGGTACGTCCAGGGCAACTACTTGTACACGGTTCTCATCGTGGCGTTCGACTTCTCCATCGGCACGGCGACCCGCATTCTATCCTTTTATTCCTTCTTTGGTGTTATAAGCGGCGTCATCGTGGGCCTCGTGGTCTACCGAGTTCGACGACTGAAAGCCATCATTGTCGGAGGCACGGTTCTGTTTACCATTGCCTTTGTCGTCCTTTATAAATTCCCCGGGGGCGCGACGGCTCGTTCGCACGCGGGTATGATTAGCGGGCAAGTTCTCATGGGTCTTGCCAGCGGTCTCTTTGCCTACCCAACACAGGCATCTATCCAGGCGTCGGCGACTCGCGACCACGTTGCGATCCTGACCGGCTTGTACCTGTCTTTTTACAACGTCGGCAGCGCCTTTGGCACCTGTTTAGCTGGCGCCATCTGGAGCCAAGCCCTGTATCCCACGCTTAAGCAGAACCTGGCCTTTCAGCCAAACGAGACGCTTGCACGGGACATTTATAAATCACCATTTCCCATTGTGGCACAGTACCCCGTTGGCACGGAAATTCGAAGCGCCATTATCGAAAGCTACAAGTCAGTACAGCTGTTGCTCTGCACGGCAGGACTGTGTCTGTGCATACCAATGATTGCGTTTGCCTTGGCACTGAGGAACCCCAAGCTTTCGGAGCAGCAGGTGCAAGAGGACGTACTGGAGACAGACGATGAGAATACACGATAGATTACTGGACATGACTATACACTTAGCGAACATGATGTGTTTATTGCGGATTTACCTGGGTGAACTGGGATTAGAATGGGATTAGTATGCGTGATTGGGTTGTCGCGGCCGGATCCTGATACCCTGTGAAGAATAAGAACATGGCGAGGGCATTTTATTTACGACTTGGGAACTGGTTTGAACATGGCAGACGGAATACGGAGTACAAGTTTTGCTTGTCTGCAGGTGTGAAGCGGAGTGACAATGACTGTGATGCTAGCAGGCAGGATTGGTGTCTGGTGCCTGGCTCTCATACTTGGTACACCTCCCTGCGTGGTCAATGGTCATGCAAGAGTGAGATGTGATGATTGAATCCCTGCGAATCTGCCCGTGCGGATTTGCGCATTCATGTGCCACATAAGTGATGCATGCATTCGGTAATCGCCCTGCGCGGCACTGCAGATGTCTGAGTTCGGATGTCTTGCTGTTCCTGACCCGCCTCGACGCCAAAGACTGATTGTCGCAGCCACATGCCTGGCTGGCGGCCCAAGCAGTCAGCGCTGAATGCACCAGCCACCACCGACCAGACCACTTGAGCACCCAACAAACATTAGGTACCTAGGTGCCCCGTACCAGACATGGACCTCCACCTCCATGCCCCAGCGGCATCGGACCGCGGCACGTGTGATGGGATTGTAAATTCAAAAAAACGACCGGGGGCGATCTTGGCCACATTTCGGCCGTCGGCCGTCAACTTATTTCATTGCCGTCCGCGGTCCATCAGTCATCTTGGCCCAACGACCACCACCACCAGGAGGCACCATGGCGTCACTACCACAGGATCCCGCGAACCCGGAGAAGAAGAAGAGCCCCAGCGCTCTGCGGTCAATTCTGGCGGGCTCGACTGCTGGAGCCATCGAGATTGGTATGCTGCCCAATTTCCCAGACTACATCTTGGTCACCAACGGCGTACTAATTAATACTCTGGTTTTAGCCATTACATATCCTGCGGAATGTATGTCGTAGGCCCTCGAATTCGTTTCGGCGAGTCAAACAGCCACGATACTAACGCGCGCAGTCGCCAAGACCAGATCGCAGCTGAATAGGCGGTTGGCCGAGGGTCAGAAATTGCCCTGGCCGCCGTTTGGAAAGCAATGGTACGCAGGGTGCACCACACTCATCATTGGCAACTCGGCCAAGGCTGGCATTCGTACGTTTGCCCAAAGTTTCTCCCATCCCTCGCGGTGCCGTCTGGTGCTAATAGCCCGCCGTGTGTGATTTCAGGCTTCGTCGCATTCGACCAGTACAAGAGGATGCTCGCCGACGCTGACGGAAAACTATCTGGTCCGCGAACCGTCCTCGCCGGCTTTGGAGCTGGTGTCACAGAATCACTGCTGGCTGTGACACCGACGGAGAGCATCAAGACCACCCTGTACGTTTTTTGCTCCGCGTGCAACATGCACCCTCCTCTTTGCCAAACCTACCTGCTAACGGGCGACCCCTCCTTTCATTCCCCAGTATCGACGACAAAAAGTCTCCCAAACCCCGAATGCGCGGCTTCCTCCACGCCGTCCCCATCATTGCGCGCGAACGTGGCATCCGCGGCTTCTTCCAGGGCTTCGTGCCGACGACGGCTCGCCAGGCCGCCAACAGTGCCACCCGCTTCGGCTCGTACACCTTTCTCAAGCAAATGGCCGAATCGTACACGGCGCCCGGGGAGAAGCTCGGTGCCGTGGGCACCTTTGCCATGGGCGGCCTCGCAGGGCTGGTGACGGTGTTTGTCACGCAGCCCTTGGATACCATCAAGACGCGTATGCAGAGCATCGAGGCCCGTCAGCAGTACGGGAATACCCTCCGCTGCGCGACCATGATCTTCAAGCAGGAGGGTGTCTTGACCTTTTGGAGTGGTGCTTTGCCTAGGCTGGCGAGATTGGTCCTGAGTGGCGGCATTGTCTTTACCATGTATGAGAAGAGCATGGACTTGTTCAACAGGTTGGATCCGGAAATGAAGTACATCTGAGCTTCTGGTGGGATTGGGGCCGGGGTTTGGGCGTTTTGTAGCGGAGTGTGGACATCTCACGATGCAGTGGTAGACTTCAAAAAGAGCTATATAGACCATTGGGATAATACACGATGCAAATATTCTTTTTCTAGCGTTTGCTATGCTACACAAATATCGTACAGTCAGCCTCTCATGGCATGGAGGGGGTGTCGTGTTCCCCTTTCCCTTTAATTTCGAACCCTCATGGGATATCCAGGAGCCCAATCCTGAATTCCTTGGCACATTACATCTATCGAAGCGGAGCAACACCAATTCACAATCGGCTCGAAAAAGCCATTATTGAAGTCGAATCATTCCGGATAGTCGTTTGCCTAATCGTTCCAGCCACGTCCTTCTCGGCGCCTCCTCAATCTCCCGTACTAGATCTTGGAAATAGGTCGGCTGGCTCTTTGGTTCCAGCATTGGCCCCTTGAGCTTATACTGTATCGTGACATCAGTATCAAATGATGCACGCAAGTAAAGTGTATCCGGATATGTGGTCACATAATCGCATTTGTTGGCGAGTGGCGGACCAACGTACCCTATTGTTAAACTTGTCTTGCACAAGGAACTGAAGAGCTCTCGCCTTCAAAGTTTCCTCCGCCTCCATGGCAGGGTTGTAGTTCTTGTAGCGCTCTTCGACGGCTGCTTTAAGGATGTCTTGGAGTTGGTAATCGGGCCGGAGGTCTTGCTTAGGCCATTTTGCAAAGGCGTCGGCGTAGATGCGGCGCTGAGTGGTGATTAGCTGGGGTTAGAAAATTGAGCTTGGGCATCGCATGGCGCATGGCGCATGTCAGAGGAAGTCAACGTGGAGCTTACCGCTATTGAGCGCGACATGGCTGTCGGCTGGTGGTGAGGTACTGGTAATGATAAGGTGCTGGTGATGCTGTTTTTATGTCGTCACGACTCTGTCTGGGCCAACTCATGACTTACGTAATTGAGATGGCCTGTTCGGGTGGATCGGATCTCCACTCGAGCGCCCAAGGGGATACATGCGGGGCCTGCATAATGTATTTTGCTTAAGGTTCACACTGTCTGTTATGTGATACTTCCGCCATCTGTACAGTATCAATCCCGGGTCCCTCGATTGGTTGATGCGGCCATTCGCATCTCGATTTTAGTGGCCGTAGCGGGTGTTCTAGGGGCTTCCACTGCTGCCACCAGCGCTCAGCGCTTAACTCCGCACTTGACTGTTCTTTAGTTGCCTGGCATTAGTGGTCTGGTTTAGCTGGCGAAGTCTGCTCTGTCCTTGATCAGTCTGGTCCGGTTCTTCAACACTCAGAGCAGGGCGGTATCCTTCATCCCATTCAATCCACTGCTAGTTCATTCCTTGGAATACCTTTGTACGATTTTCTTTCCCTTACTTCCCTACTCGTGCGCCAAATCTCTCGAGTTTGTCAGCCGCCCTCTGCTCTTGCACCGCGCAAGGCGTTATCCCTGACTCGTGCTCCGCCTCCCCTCGTTTGATTACGTGCGTGGCAGCGATCCCTGACGCCCGATCAGCAACTCTTCCCTTTCAACCCTCAGTCGCCGCTGTCATCGCAGCATCAGTCACAATGCCTGGTTCCGGAAGATACGAACGGGTTAGTGATTTTTCTGCCGTTTGGTCCCATCTTCCTGGCGCTTTATATCCCGAAGAGCATTACGTGCTAACTGCCTGCGATAGGTTAATGAACACGATGACGACGACCTTCAATCATCTCACGAACCGAAACCTTTGCACCCGATCCCCAACTCCCCGCCGCCGTCATTCCATTCACGAGCCTCTTCTCTGACTCGACGAAATCGTGTTGACCCGGACCTGGAAGATGCCTTTGACGATGAGGATGCTAGTGAAGATGAAGCCGACGATAGACAACGACTTGTGAGGCAGAATACCACGCCTTCCACCACCCATTTGCCCCCCATCGATCATGGGCCGTCATCTCCCCAGCCAGCGGCAGCACAATCAAACTCGTCATCGGGCTCACGACCGCGAGTCGTTGGAGGCGGTGTCGGCACCGACGGTGTTTTCGCAAACATGTCGGCACGACCTGAGAGATCGGACTCTGAGAAGGAGGAACAACCACCGGTAAGATTCTAGCCAGCGCATGACGTGTTTGCTCCTCTACTAATTTCCCCCCATAGTCATATGAACAAGCCGCCGCCGACGCTGCGCCGCCATACTGGGAAACAACTATTCTGGCACCTGGCCTGGGCGGTCTGGATGAAGTCTATGTTGACGGAATGCCTGTTGGCTCAGTATTCTCCTTCATATGGAACGGCATGATATCGACCTCTTTCCAGCTCGTTGGATTCCTGCTCACGTACCTACTTCACTCGACACATGCCGCCAAAAATGGATCACGCGCCGGTCTTGGAATTACACTGATACAATATGGTTTCTACATGAAGGACTCTGGAAGCGGCGATGCCCCAGTCATGAGTGGCCCTGACGGCTATGCCGCTCCGCCGGATCCAAACTCTCACGACTTTAACGCAGGCGATGTCACAGATGGCGGTTCGACGACGATTACTGGAAGCGAGTGGATGGGATATGTACTGATGGTAGTAGGATGGTTTATCCTTATCAAGAGTGTGGCTGAATTTCTGAAGGCTCGAAGACATGAGCAACTAGTGCTACAGAGCCCCGATCGAGGACTGGCTGTGCCGATTGTTGCTGAGGGAGAGAGCCCCGAACGAGTGGTATAGGAGTCGAGTGTTCAAGCACCCTGACGATTCATACCTATCAGGTGTATATATGATGGCGATTGGATTCCCCAAGTATACTTCGAGAGATGGGAATTTGCGGACCTGGATAAGCGTCTGGCATTTCTTTTCGGCGTTGCTGCTATTCTGCGCTGTTTTTTTTTTTTTTTTTTTTTTTTTTTTTGGCTGGGATTGCACTGGGCTAATGTTGAACCAAGCCGAGGCGGAGCACGCACTTCTCTCTTCTTTTCGTTGAATAGCAAAAAAAATAGCAACTGCAGCTTGGAATAGACTTCGTTTATTTTAATGCACAGCTTCTTGTGTCACCATGCGGTTTATTGTTGGTGCGATCGCTTGACCTGCGAGCCAAGACGGCGATGGACGGCTGTTAACATCTTGGTGATAATAACACCTTGAGGTACGCGGCTCAAAGTCATGTTTATTGCCATATTCTAACATGGGCAAATGTGTACACCATGGCTGGAACATGATGTCAAGTTGAGACGTAGACCTACATCGAGGAACTCGCTCCGTCCAAATCCGCGGGGCAATTGTCGACGGTTCAAACGTTCAATACAGGTGGAGCCACTTCTCGGATAGCTTCCAGAAATTAAGCGTGGGCGGCCCCGCACCGGCTCTCTCATACAAATAATGGTTCAAGCTTCAGTTTGCCACCTGGATATCCCAGCTACACACCTTGTAATAAAGTCATCCTAGCCTTCCCGTATTCTAAACATTCTTGAAAATACCCTTTGATCGTAACAAACCCCTGATCTTTTTTCCAGGATATTCGATTGTGGAGGATTTCCTCGTTCATACTATCCTGCCGAACCAGACTAACAGCTCCTCAAACGACATCACGCAGCCTGGCCACGTCGATAATAGCTACTCGGTCTCACCCCCGGGCCTGCATGCTCTTTGCCAAATTTCTGCAACCACTTGCATCTATCCCTTTTATCCGCCAAAACTACAGCATGGCGTGGCGGTGCTCTGGGGGTTCAAATGAACAGCTCATCGAGAACCTGTGGCGATCGGGCCTGATTACAGACCCGCGCGCCAAGGAGGCTTTCCTCAAGGTATGGTAACCGCGTACATTTCCTCTCGAACCCACTCCATGCCGAGTGCATACGCTCACCTTGTCTTGCTTTCATTTGGGAAACAGGTCGACAGAGCTCACTACGCCCCCCACTCCCCCTACGAAGACTCGCCGCAGTACATCGGCCATGAGGCAACCATTTCTGCACCACACATGCATGCCATGGCCATGGAGAACCTGCTCCACTACCTCACGCCCTCTGCGGCCTCCCCGGCTCCCCGAGTCCTTGACATCGGCTCCGGATCGGGCTACCTGACGCACCTCTTCGCCGAACTCGTTGGCGAAAGGGGTCTTGTAGTTGGGCTGGAGCACATCCCCGCACTGCGCCAGATTGGCGAGGAGAACATGCGCAAGAGCACCGAGGGCATGAAGCTGCTGGACTCTGGAAAGGTCAAGTTCAGAGTTGGCGACGGGAGATTGGGGCTCAAGGAGCCCGCGAGACGTGGCGAGGAGGCGCACGGGACAGACTGGGACGTGATTCATGTCGGTGCCAGCGCAAAGGAGCTGCACCAGGCGTTGCTGGACCAGTTGAAGGCACCAGGGTGGTGAGTTTTTTTTTTTTTTTTGGGACCGATTCTGACGACTGACAATTCGCAGCATGTTTATCCCTATTGACGACGACCCCAGTGGCGTGATGCAATCTGTTTGGCGCATTTCCAAAGACAAGGAGGGCAAGGTGACCAAGAAGAATATCTGTGGTGTTCGCTATGTCAAGTTGACGGATCCCCCGACATAATCTGGCCCGCCTTACGGGGTCGGGGGGTACTATTTGAGCTTTTGGGCTTTGTATTACGGGAATATTTTTTTCTTTCTTTGCGGAAAGTCTGTGTCACATGGGATGGAGGTTTGTCACATTACGACGAAATTGGAAATTGAGAGTAAACACTAAAACTCGTCAACTCTACTAGTATACGAACTTGCCAGCGCTGTCTCATGTGCTCTCCTTTTTTGTGCACCTCATCCAATGCCATAACCCACCTATACCGAACGTCATGAAATTTCATCATAAGAAATGCAGATAGGGAAAAAAAAGAGCAAAACAATGTACGCCACCAGGGCAAAACTGTCACCGCTTCTACTTTTCAGGACTCGGACTCGGAAACCGACGTTCAAGACATGCCCATGGCGAGAACAAGAGCCGCCATGCCCAGGACTATCGTGATGGCACTCACAGGTTGAGACGGGCCCTCGCTGACAATGACCGAGTGGCTAGGGCTGCTGGGGTTGCTGTCGGCAGCAGTAGCCCGAGCAGCGTTGGACGAAAGCGGAGGAGGCGTCTCCGTCTCCGGGCATTCGCGCCCCCTGCAGGGGCCGGATGGATGAGACGCAGAGGGCTCGTCCCCTCCGTGTCTAGCAGTAGGTGTGGGAGGAAGAGGGGCCGTGTCGTTCGAGTAGGCCACTCCGCCCCTTGATTCGGCCGCCGACGAAGTAGGTTCCCTGAAGGATGCCGCGTGAGGCTCTTCGGTTCTGGTCCCGGCGGCATTGGCAGTTTCGGCGGGGTGCGTGGCAGTCGTCCGGAGAGCCGTGGGCGTGGGATCTCCAGCAGCAGCGCCAGGCTTGTCAGTAAGACGGGTCACGGAGGCGTTTGGGCCGGCCGGCTCCGTGGGAACACGCTTGTAGAGGTTGTACAGCTGCTCTCCGTCTGCTGGGCTCGGCCCGCCGCAGTGTCCTGCCTTGTCGTCGCCCGGCTTGCAGGCCTTGGGGCACCTCGAGTCGTCGGTCACGCCGTACTTGGGGGCGGCGCGGGACACGGGGTCCTCGCAGTAGCAGCCGTTGACGCCGGCCGCGGCGTAGGAGCCGTTCTTGCCACAGGCCTGCTGGCACTGGGCGGCGGTGAAGGAATCGCCCAGATCCATCTTGACTGGGAAATCGCAGGCCTTGGCCTGTACGCAGCCGACGTATTGGAAGCCGTCGGACGCATACCTGGCTTGGGCGGAGGCGCTGGCGGCCATGAGACCGGTGACTAGGAGCGTGTGCATCATTTTTGGCTTTTTTATGCGGGGAGTTCTTTTAGCAAGTTGAGAGAAGCACTGTATGATGGGACTCTTCTGCCCGGACCGCGTTGCGTGATCCGGAGGAAAGTGACGAGTGAGCGTTGAAAGACCTTTTGGGCAAGGGAAAAAAGAGAACCAAGAATGAATGGGGAATCGTTCAAGTCGAATCAAAATTTGAAGACACTGTTACTAGGGTGGGATGAAGCGTTGGTGAAGAGTGTTGCTGTTGTCGATGGAGGAATACGGATAGGCAAGGACATCGTATTATATCCCTCAAAGCACCGCCATTTACTGAATGCCACAGCTACCTGAAACACTTGAAGCTATTCACGAGCCCGTCCAAGGCATGTAGCCGACGTCACATACAAATTCAAGGTAGGTCGCGGCCGATGAGCGCTGAAGGGGGGAAAAGGGGGCGTTGGAATGCAGCTGCAATTTACACTGGCGTTGGCAGTAGTAGACTTGGACTTGTGCGAGCCGTCAGGGACTGGAAGTAGCCCTTGTACCGCCTCTAGACAGGTATTTCGGCTTCTAAGACAGCGTTCCAGAGACAGGCGCCAAGAGGGCGGAAAGGCTTTGTGTGGTGGGTGAGTAGTTGAGTGGTGTCTGAGACATTTTGACGCGATGCCGTGGCCGCGTCGCGAAATTTCCTTGAGTACTTCGTAGCAGGAGGCTGGATGTCAGTGTAGCGGGATGGAATCTTGGCCAGTGCCTTCATTTTTGCATGAAACTGTGTATAAGTGTGGTATCATATGTCGAAGTGGTAGCCGTGTTGCACAAGAAGGACCACCCGGCATGCTGAAAGAACTAGACCGTGCTTGGATGGGACGAACATTCTACTTTGTAGCTGGACTGCGTTTTAAACATTGTCTTGGTCGTTTTGCGAGACTTGGATGTGCGAGCGGCGAGTATGCCAGGTTGGGCTGGCAACGCGTGGAAGCGCTCGGGTTCATGGCGATGCATCTTGACTAGGCATCTTGCGTGTGAGTTGTTGGGTTTTCATGGACATTTTGTTTCTTTTTGAATTCTACAGCCCAAAAAAAAAAAAAAAAAAAAAAAAAAAAAAAAAAAAGGAAACCAAGGATGCTGAAAGAACTAGACCGTGCTTGGATGGGACGAACATTCTACTTTGTAGCTGGACTGCGTTTTAAACATTGTCTTGGTCGTTTTGCGAGACTTGGATGTGCGAGCGGCGAGTATGCCAGGTTGGGCTGGCAACGCGTGGAAGCGCTCGGGTTCATGGCGATGCATCTTGACTAGGCATCTTGCGTGTGAGTTGTTGGGTTTTCATGGACATTTTGTTTCTTTTTGAATTCTACAGCCCAAAAAAAAAAAAAAAAAAAAAGAAAAGAAACAAGAAGGAAACCTAGGGTGTACAACAATTCCCTTTGCCGTTGTCATGTACAGAGTAGCCCATGTTCGCCCGATCAATGACAGCGCAAATCGATGCCAATGCCTGGCCTATCGTTCCTCCTTGGCCAGCTTTCCCACCAACGCCCTGCCCGCACTTTCTCCTTTGATCCAATCGTCCTCGGGAAAGATGTCGAACATGCCGACCTTGCGCAGCACTGGAATTGCAGCCTTGATGGCTGGTTCCAGGGCCTTTCTTTGATGCTCGTCGCCGGCGTCGTACGCCTTGATGTTGACTATTAAGGCACCGACTGTGCCTGTGGGAAGCTTGTCGCCGTTGGGGAGCGTGACAATGGGAAACGACTTGGCCAATGTCCCCATGGTCTGGTTGTTGATGTCTTGGAGACTCTGCGTAGAAGACATGGTGACTGGTTTGGGAGGCCGTGGAGATGATGCAACCTATATTGATTTGAAGAGGTGGGAGTGAGCTTTTGAGTTGATGGTTGTGAGATGAGTGCAAGTGAACTTGACAGATATCATGACATTTCTATGTACTTTTCCAGCCTTACATGGCTCGATACATGATGCTTATCCGCGGAAAGCCCGCGAGCACCAGCTGGAAAGTCCATGGGCTGGACCAGGCGGACAAACAATGGCATGGGACGTATTCGAAAAACCGTCAAGGCGAAGCTGCGACTAAAGCGATGCTGCAAAAGGACTAATCTGAGAAGGTGCATGTGGAAAGAAGTCTCACGCTCGGAGGTCTTACGAGGGATGCGGTGTACTGGGTCGGGCATCATTGACGGTTCTGTTTCTTTCTTGATTTATCCAAATAGGTTATGACACAAAGAGGCACAACACTCGTATCCAGCGAGCTTCACAGAGGGGTCACTCGCGTCAATGGAACAAGCCGCGAAGCCCCAGCCCGATGACAGCATACACGGCCGTACCAGCGGCCAGAACGGACAATCTGAAATGGTTAGCACCATGTTTGTCTTCAAAAGAGGGATAAGAATTTTTTTTAAAAAAAGAAAAGGTAAAAGACAAGGGACGACAAGGAGAAGATGACATAGAACCAAGAGCGCGTACTCTCCATACGACTTCCTCCGCAACACAAGCCCAATGTCGGCAGCGCAAATGCACAGGGTACTGAGAATCAAGGTGCCCAACTCGTCGTTGCGGCCCTTCTTGGCAAGAAAGTACATGGCAAGGCCAATAGCCAAGTCTCGCGACCCAAGCACGCCCGAGAAGCCGAGGGTGCTCTCGTAGTCTGCCGTTTGCGAGTCGCTCAAGGCTGTGATGCCAAAGAGCGCAGCTGTGCGATGAGGGCAAAAGGTGGCGAGGGAGCTGAGAAGGAACCAGCTCGATGCCACGCCGAGACCGAGCGCGTTCCACGTTGTCGGGGAGAGGGAAGAGAGGCCCATGGTCTTGAAATGGCGCAAGTGGTGAAATGCTTGGTCGGTCCATGTTGCGCAGCCAGGCGAGGTCCAACTGGTCTAGTCATCAAGTGACGGCTTAATTGTTTGGCCGAAGCGCGGCGCGCGCATCACGAGATCAATTGATGCCTCGTTTCTTCACCACCTCACCCCTCCAGCCTCGGGCGTCAGGTGCAAAGTCGGGCAGAGGCACCCGGCGACGAATGGCCATGGCTTGATTTCAAACTACCTGCTTGAGTACATGTACGTGGCGTCATTCAAGACCGTCATCAATCACCACTCTTGCGCTCCGTCCCACGTCACGACTCTGCCAACATGCTCATCCCTCTCGCCCTCGACCACGCTTCGCACGAGATCGCCGGCCCGCGCCGCATCAACAGCGCCCAGCCTTTTCATCTTTCTGGGAGTGCTCCCGCCCAGATGTGTCGCCGACAGCCCAGGATTGACGGCAAAAGTCTTGACGCCGTCGTCTCTCAACACCTGGTACCAAGTCAACATGCACATGTTCACTGCCGCCTTGGAACACCTATATCCTTGGTGCGTGATGAGTCCATCTTTTGGCCAGCCGTCCTGCGGTTCTTTTGTCCCGCCTGAAGCGCAACCCTCAAACGCGCCGCTGAGACTCGCATTGCTCGAGCTGAGAAAAAGGAGCCGCGCTCTTGGGGATCTAATGAGCAAAGGTGCGAAAAGGCCGGTCAGGACCTGGGCGCCGGTAACGTTGACGTCGTATGCCTTGTTGAAGACGGCCCTGAAGTTGGATGCGTCTCCGCTGAAGGTGGTGTCGAAGAGAGCGCCTCGGTGCACGCGTTAGCCAAGTGTGAGTGAAATGCCATTGACAATACCAGCATACCAGCATTGTTGATCAAGATGTCAAGCCATCCAAATCTGTGCTCAACATACTCGACTGCTTTCTGAATCGACTCGTCATCCGTCACGTCAACCTGTATTGCCTCAGCAGTGGTGCTAGACGGCGCCAGCAGATCCTTCAATTGGTCCATGGCCGCCGATGCCTTGGCCAGCGTGCGACCGCCAACAAAGATGTGGTAGTCGTCTTTGGTTGACTTGATGAGTGCCTTGACCGTCTCAAATCCGATGCCGGTGTTGCCACCCGTGACGAAGACGAGCTTTGGGAACATGTTGTTTTGCTGACAAGATTTAGATGAGGGGATAAGAAACTAGATATGAGTGCCCTGGCCATCTCGGCGGGTGTTTGCATCTCTGGCTTTATATGATGCCTACTCTGCCTTGTTTGCTGAGCTCGGGCCATGACATGTGGTTCGAATGAAGGGGAATTATCTGCAAAGCATACCAGTTGACGCCTGTTGGCTTTGACGAAATCCCCCGGGCGCACTGAAAGGCTTGGAATCTGGCAAGCACAGACTCTGTGTGGCAATACTGGCTGCGGGAGGGCAGGGGGTGTCCATTGCCATGCTGGCCAAAGGCCTAAGCTCGTCTTTACAACCAAGGACAAAGAATCTGAGAGGAAAACGAGCGGCACCAGCAACTTTGTGTAACCTGTTGGACGGGGTGCATTGTGCTGCATTCTATTGAGTTACCATGTCCGTCTATCGTGAGGACTTGCGGAATCTATCTCTCTGATGTCTTGAGCCCTAATCCTATGTAGAAGTAGGCTCAACTAGACCTGATGCAGCCCTAGTCTTGGTTGATCTTTGGAAACATAACGATAAGCCTGGAACTATGTTTTGCCAGAAATTCCTCAAACGACGTCAATCCTCCTCTCGCGCTTTGCGCAGCCGAAGCGACCAACTCGCCTGTAGCCCCTCCGTAGTACCCAAACTCCTCAAAGTAGCCCATTGTCTGCACGAGGATATCACCTCCAAATGGCACAGCGGCCTGGTATTCCTCCGCCGAGACCTGGCGATAGATGACTTGTTGCCCCGTCGCCTTGCCCATGGCCAGTGCAATCTCTTCAAGGCTATATAACCGCTCCGCCCCGTAGACGACCCTGCCATCATGCTCGTCAGGGTGGGCGAGAATGGATCCGATAAACTTGCCCGTGTCGCCCTGGGCGTCTATCAGCGGGACTGTGGTCCGGGGAGAAACATGCATGGACATGATGTAGGCGCCGTCGCCGTCTTGGCATCGCTTCGGGGCCGCCACAGTAATGTAGTTTTCCATAAAGGAACCCGGTGAGTAAAAGGCGCTCTTGATGGGGAGGCTGCGGATGTAGGCCTCCGCTCTGGCCTTTGCATCAAACATGGCGACGCTGTTGAACTTGCCGCCTGATATGTCGCTGACGGACGGCAGGGTGCTGAAAATGATGTACCGCGCCCCTTTACTGCAGGCAACATCGGCCGCGTTCTTGGCTGCGCGGAACTCATTTTGAAGAGCATCGGGAGTGAAGTCTGGCACCGTGACGAGGAAGACGACGTGCACTCCGGCCAGGGCTCTATCCAGGGAGTCGGCGTCATGGAGGTCTCCCCGAATCACCTCTATGTTTCTATCGGCAAGGCGTCGCGCTTTGATAGAATCCGGGTCGCGCGTAATGGCCCGGAGCTTGTATTTTCGAGACAGGGCCGCGTCTTCAAGAACGTAGTCAATGACGGAGCTGCCCTGCTGGCCTGTGGCACCAAAGACAGCGAGGATTTGGGACATGTTGTAGATTTACGCACGCAGCCGCTTGAGGCTTTTAGGTCAGTTAAATCTGGATTACTGTCAATGGTTGACGCCTCGCGGCAGTTATATAAGTTGGTGAGGGTTGTCTGACGGAGGAGAGTTGCTATCTCCGCGCTTCCACCCCCTTAACTCCGTAAACTTGCAAACAGGTCCAGTGAGATGCCAACTCAGCTGGACAAGAGAGCTCTATTCCTTCGTGATTGACAATCTCAGCCGCTGGGCGAAGACGTTTACGCTGGTATGAAGCCGTGACGTTTTGCCAGCAGCATGTCTAGTGCTGCAACTTCAGGCTCGATACCTGCTGGGTTCCCGGCCTTTCCATACGTAGCTAGCGAAGTATAGCAGCGATCCTCGACGCGGACACAAATGGAGAATATATAAGGAGGTCTTTCTCGCTTCATTTCAGGCAAGACGAGGGTGAATATCTGTGCTCGGGGCATGTCCACAGCCATCTGAGTCGTGGGATGAAGTCCTTTGCCCAAGACGCGTCGCAACAATGCTAATATACAGCAACTCCAAAAGTCGAAAGTAAAATAAAGAATAAAAAAATTGAGAGGAAAAGCTGGATACAGCCCTGTAACCGCTTGAACCATGTTCACCGCACCTTTGATGACGTTTGTCATACTTTCGGCCATGCCACAGCACTCCTTTCAATAATTGATGCGGCAGCCTGATCTAGATAGAGCAGCAAATTATTGCTCGTCATGCCGTAGTCTAATACCAGACCTCCGTTGAGAACGACTAATTGTGAGCTCTAGTGGCTGAGCACCTTGCTTACGACTTCGGTGGTCCTCGCGTCCTGCATTGGGACCCTACCCTTGTCTTCGTCTGGGGTAATGCCTTCAAATGTTTGTACTAGATAGTAGACAAGTAAAGATTCCAGAGTACAGTAATCTGAAATGAACCATTGGCAAATGGTAAGCTTGCGGTGCCACATGGCTGGGACGGCCTGTCTCGACAGCAAAGAGGAGAATCAAAACGTGGTGCTGGCAAGACTCGGATTCGGCTGCTGCATGTAATTGGTTCAGGTCCACATTCACGGCAATTCACATCATTGCATGGTCATTTAGCTGGTCAAGAGTCAGCACATGAGCAGCTGAATGTTGTATTGACGGATATAACACCGGCTGCCTTTCCCCTCCCCAACAAACCAGACTCGTCTTTGCCCGGCATCTCTTTGCCAACACTCTCGACAAGACGCCCGCAGTACAAAGCACTTTGCAGAGCGAAATTACCACCGCTGCCCATGTCAGCTAGTCGTCCCCCTCGTCCCGCGCCGTCTTGGAATGGCGAGGTGGACAAAGTCAAAGAGGCTCGGAGCAGAGGAGATGCCGCAGCGGCCATCACTGCGGCCAACTATGCCGCCGACAGTATAGAAAGCCAGATTGGCGAGACCATCAACGGGTCTGCAGACGAGAATGAAGCGTTAACCGCTGCCCAGCGCTTCACCTTCAATGTTGCGGCCGATGCCTGGCCGGGCTGGCAACGCGACGGACCCTTGCTGGACAAGCCTACTCTTCTCAGAGCAAAGCATCTGGCCCTGCGCTCGGCATCTCTGGTTGACAGACTGAGACTTGGTCCAATCCAGGTCGGCACAGGCGCCTGGCTCGTCGGCGCGTTCGACCTGGTGCTGGGAAACTTTGAAGAGGCGCTTGCTCGCTTCTCGGCCGCCTCTGACAAGTATCATGCTGCACCCGCACCTGGGCTTGAACTGCTGACTAGCGGATATGCCGTCATGGCGAGGGGACTTTGGGCATCCAAACCCGAGGCGGACATTGCCGGGGATCTGGACCGAGTCATTGCCCAGATTCTTGCGGGCAGCTTTGAGGATCGTGAAGAGTGGGCGGAGCAACTTCGCACAGCCTTGGCCGTGGTCTTGAGGAAAGACTACAAGGAAATGTGGCCTTAGCTCTATTTGGTGCTCGCCCGATTCGGGCAACGAGGAAATAGTTGTCCAATTCAATTTGTAGCTAGCTTATGACTCCTTGCTGGTATGCCACGAGGAAACGAATGTGCTCTTGTTCTGCTATAACTGGCTTTGCTTTTGTAGATGTGATTTTCGGAGAGCTGTTTTTAGGAACCTAGGTCCTTCTCCATTTTTCTTTTTGTCTTTTCTTTCATTTTTTCCTTTTTTCCTTTTTTTTTTTTTTTTTTTGAATTTAACGCTATTTAATGCTAGCACGAGCGCTGCTACCCGCAACCTAATCTGAAACAAATAGAAATTATAATACTTGCCGCCCTCGCTCTATTAGATACATGCGGACGATTTCTTAGTAACGACAGCTTTTTTATCGCCACCGTCTATCAGGGCTTGGGGAGCAGTCCCGATATAAACGACAAAAATGTAATGCAAGTCCTAAGTCCATAACTACATAGTGATTCGTTGTAACTGCCATAACCACACAAAATGCTCGATAAAGAGACGTATCATACGGATACAGTACATGAGAGTCACGGAGCCACGAGCCATTACGTTCAAAGCAGGCTATTCAGGCTTTGGTAGCTCAACTATCTGCGAATATACTAATGAGAATGTAAATACTGGTCAGACGAGAGACACTGGATCTTGCGCAAGCACCGGCAGATCTCCCCATGGCCAAATCTTGGCCTGGAATCGAATGAAAACTCTTATCCAGCTTCAGCGCAATCCAAACAGGTCACGACTTGCTGCCGGTTGTAGCCACGCTACTTGCTCTGTTGCTCCCCAACAGTGATTTCGTATGTTCCGGGAACGGTTGAAGTTACGCTCCACGGCATGTCGCTCCCGCAGCTGCCATCCTTCCAGGGAGCAGTTAAGCTCATCTCCACTCCGGCTGCTGAAGTCAACGGAGTGCCAAAAGTTGCAGCTGTATAGGGGTATTTGGAGCAGTCGCCAAGTCCGGTGTAGTAGTACTCTACAAACCCTACCCAGTACCCTCCTTGCATTCCGCTGACACCGTCTGGCAAGTCGAAGGACCCCATGTGCCAAGCCTGCTTGGTTCTTTGGTTGACAAGTGTGCCGTTGTAAGTTTGTTTGGTGACGTTGATCTGCAAATGATACGTGTCGTCGTAGCTCGCTTGCACATCAATCGCGCAGGACACGCCAGGCCCGTTGTCAGCACCGGGGTGACAGTTTGCGTCTGTCGTCGTGCTGTTGGGGAAGAAGCTCGAGTAGGTGGCATGCACGATGCTTTGCCCGTTTTGATCCGGTCTGGGCTGTAGGCCGGTATAGATGACGGTGTTGGGGTACCCGCTGGGAACATTTTGGAATGAAACGGCCTGCTCAAAATAGTAGCCTGATTCGTGTGGCGCCTTTGGCATCGCCATGGGAAACGTAACATCTTGGAGCCCACTGGCTGGGACATTTGCTGCTTCCCAGCCCAGATGGACCATCTGCACCGCGCCAGCGGCCTTTAGCAAAGGGATCAAGGCAATAAATCTCATGGTTTGTATGTGTCAAGATGCTGCGTATTACAAACAGTAGTGAAATATTTGTGTAGAGTATTTGTGCGAGCAGGACAAACGGTTAAGGCATCGTCCTCCTTTAATACTTGTTTCGTCACGGTGTAATGGCAACATTCACCTTGGCTCGGCAAGTGTGCCGAGACATACATCTACACAGCCAGGAGTGTTGGGAAAAAGAACACGTCACGAGAACTAGTTGCTTTTTTGAATGATTTGCAATTAGTCAGTTTCAGGAAAACTCCATTACGTTGGAGAATCTCTCTCCAGGACAACTTGACGAATGACTTGATATGGCGTTATATAGGATATGTCTAAGCGACTTACTGTGACTGAAATGTATCTTGACAGGTTGAAACACAGGCTTTGTTTCTGCCCAAGTAGTAAGCCAAATGGTCCTTTATGGGGTAGTATTATATGTAGATCACTTCAGCCTACAACCTTTCCGCCGCCACACCTGTGCCGTGTCAGCGTTATTAGTCAACTTGTCTAAGAAGAGCTTCTTCCCGTTCCGTTTGAACCTATCATACCCCGAGATCCCGTCTTCTCACCTGGAGACCCTGTCGTATGCCTCAGTCATGTGCTGCTTTTTGGGATATGTCGTCCGGCCACCTCTGATAAATGAGACATGATGTTCATTACAGTTTCCTTCATATATACAAGGATAGTAATATGACTTGCTGCTGCATCACTCGCTGTGTCACGATAAGCCATTCAATCTTGTCGTTGGCCATCTTAACCGCCTGGGCCTGGACATAAGGCAGGCTGACTCGAGCTCGCCCTGTCGCCAACACAAGGCGAGGAAATACGGACCGACATTTGGGGCATGCTGACCTCTCCACCACTGTATCGGCAACTGCCGTCGACCAAGCCAAGATGCGGTGGCAGACGAGATATCTCATAGGTCATATAATCTTTGCAACACCGCTAGCACTTGGTGTACGGCGAAACGACTAATAAAGCCGGTCTCCGAAGCTTGGTATCGCTGGGTGAGCTTCGGATATAGCTAGTCTGGTGACAGCACGCTGCAAGACTTCATAGTCGAGGTGGGCACTCCAGCATCTACATGTGGGAGCCTCGATGGCAAATATGCTTTACTCTCGTTACGTATTTGACCACCCTATCTACAGCAAACCTCCGATGCCCCCGAGTATTATGGAGGGGCCGCCACTTGCCACTGTCTCCATATAATTAGAGCGCGATAGCTGACGTAACAATATTAGAGTTCTTGTAAATTGGTCTCATAGCCTAGATTCGCGGGGGCAGCCATGGTCGACACAGTGAACGTAATTCTCTCGCAAGTGATGTCTCTTGAATTTTCCACGTCAAGGTCATGAGCACGGTTTTAGATCCTCTCCCAAAAATGTCCTCGACAGCGGCCGGAACCATGAGAGCCGTAGTTTGCAACTCGCCGGGCCCAACTTCCGTGCTAAGGATTCAAAATATTCCTTTGCCCACTCCCGTGGAAGGACAAGTCCTTGTAAAGGTCCTTGGCTTTGGAATCAACCGTGCTGGTACGTCTCGCCTTAACACACACCGACTTAATGTTACCTAACGGACCTGCTGTTGTCTTGATTTTCAGAAATGTACACTCGCCAAGGTCACTCGCCGAGCGTTGAATTTCCTCGTATATTGGGCATTGAACTTGTTGGCGAAGTTGCTGGGTATCCTTCTGGCTCTGAAGCAGACGCGGACGACCTGCCCATCGGCACCAGGATCGCAACCTGCATGGGAGGGCTGGGACGACACATCCATGGATCTTACGCCGAATATGCCTGCCCGTGGAAGGCGAATGTTTCCCGTATCCCACCGACTACGCTCCCCATCGCCACGATTGCCGCCATGCCAGAGATGTTTCAAACGGCGTACGGTTCGCTTGTTCAAGCGTTGGAACTCCAGCCCGGCGAAAGCATCCTCATCCGTGGCGCCACGAGCTCCGTCGGCCTCACGGCGATCCAGCTCGCGCGGTATCTGGGCGCCGGGAGTGTGGCGGCATCGACACGCTCTGGTGCCAGGGAGAAGATGCTGCGAGACTACGGGGCCGACGAGATCTTTATTGACGATGGGAACATTGCCAAGCAGGCTCCTGCACGATTCGACAAGGTACTGGAGCTGATTGGCACAAAAACTCTCAAAGATAGTATCAGATGCCTGCGCCCCAAGGGCATGGTCTGCATGACTGGCATACAGGGCGGGGAGTGGACAATGGATGACTTTTCGCCCATTACAGATCTGCCGGAGCGTCGGCGTCTCACAGGGTACTCAGGTGACCCAAAGGACTTCATGGCATTGCCATGGGCCAAACTAATCCAGGCAGTTGAGAAGGGGGAGATTAAAGTCCCAGTTAAAGAGTTCCGCCTCGACCAACTGCAGGAAATTCATGATAATCTGGAGCAGGGAGGAGGAGGGCCGAAGATGGTTGTCGTGATTTGACCCGTAGTACTGATGAGATGATGGAGATGGACCTGTATACTTCCTATTCGCCCTTGTAAGTCAGGGTATGGAATTTTATAAGAGTGACTTGTTGATCATGTTATCTCTCCAAGCCCATTCGTCAAGGAAGCCCACATTGACAGATTTCCTGTGTAAGTGAATGGAAATCACTTAGTTGCATGCAGTGTCACGAGGCGAGAGTAACGGGCGATATCAACGCCAAAGGCCCCTTTCAATGGAAAATGGCTGCTATTCATCGGGGACCCCGATAAGCCCCAAAACGCCTCAAATAGCTGCTTTCCGATTGTACGAAAAGCCTCAAAAGAAGGCTCGCGCTACCACCGTATTAAAGCTAAACCTTTAATAGCTGGATACCGTAGAACCCCTTAAATTAATTACTTTTTAGGTGACCTATTAGTTGACCTTTATATCTATAAATAAGGGCCTATTATTCGTACTTAAATAGCTTTAATTAAGGATAATTCCACTATTTAATCTACTTTTATAGCTATTAACGTAATAGTTATAAGCTTAATTTACTATTAAATTTAAGATATTTTAACGTTAAATTATAATATATTTAAGGTCTTTAATAAAAGACTTAATTAACTTAGCTATAAATATTTAAGGTTCTTTATTAATAACCCTAATAGGTTTAAGAAGCTTAAGAGGCTTAAATTCCTCACAAATAACTATTAGGTTAATATTTAAGCCTATAAAGGGATTAAAAGGCCCTTTCAATCTACTTCTAGTTACTTAGTAATTTATTATAAAGACTATTAGTAGTTATTATAATATAATAGCTGCTAAAAATAGAGTTTTAAGATAACTAGAGCTGCTATAAGCTCGGCTATAAGCCTATAACCCATATTAAAAGAATATAAAAGAGAGGTTCTATTAAAATATAAATCGGTATTAAAGGGCGCTAATCGTACGAAAATTAAGGCTTAAATTATAAGCTAGTAGAAGGTGCTAGTAGAAGCTCTTTAAATTAACCTACCTAATACGAAAGGGCTTTAATTAACCCTAGATTTTATAGCTGTAATAGCCTCGATTAGCCCTACATTTTTAAGCTACTAGAATAATTATATCTTAAACCTCTTAAACCTTAATAAGAAAGGTTAAATAGATAAGGTCCTAGATAGCTTTTAAATTAGTAATCTATATAAATAGTATTACTAGCATTATGTAACGGTGGCTTAGGTTCTAAGGTATAGTAGGTTTATTTCTTAGGAAGTAAATTAGGTTAAATTATTTAATTATAGGAATACCTTCTTCTTAAGTACTTATTTATCTCTTTATTATAATTCTAGATTAAATAAATCCTATTTAATTCCCCGTGTTAAATTAGGTTAATTCCCTTTAATCTATTAAGTTAAATTAAACTAATCTTATTTAATTCTCTCACGTAACCTGCGATCCCGTTAGGCCCTATTCTTATTTATATACTAGCAGCCTATAACGCTAGCTAACTACTTTAGGTACTTTTAGTTTATAATATAATACTTCTTACTTATTAGTCTTATTTTTAAGGCTATTTCGTTTCATTTAATAATGTTACGAACGACACTATATAAGACA